CGATTCCTGCTGCGATTCCTGCCGCGATTCCTGCCGCGATTCCTGCCGCGATTCCTGCCGCGATTCCTGCCGCGATTCCTGCCGCCATCCTGCCGCCATCCTGCCGCTCCCGCTGGATGGGGCCTTGCAATTTGATTCCTGCTTGCAGGATGCCTTTTCCTTGGTCTTAAAATTAAGAGCTGGACACGGTTAAGGGGTAAAGGGTTTTTACCTTGGTATTTTATAAGGATTTTTGTGGTGTAGCACTTCACCAAGGCGCAGCACGCTGAAATCCGTGCACGCGGCAGGTCGCGTATACAGTTTTTTAGGTCTTGCAAATTGGCATATCTAACAAAGATGCCCCAATGAGACTCTTAAATGAATAGTGGGATATGTTCTTATCATGAGGTATTTTTTCCTGGATGAGCTTAATCTTAGTTTACAGGATGTATTTTAGAGAGGACCTTGGATTTTCAAGATAGCGTGGGGCTTTCTGGCCTGTGACTGCGAGGCCTTTAGGATGTCTGGTTTTCTGGCTTAATAGAATATCAGGATTGTGTTATCAGACTTAAGGAATTACAAGTATGCATGTTAAGGGCATTGAAAATGCATAAAATATGTATAAAAGAAAAAATTGTCATGGCATTAAAGTCTTTGGAAATTCTCCTGAGCATTCCAAGGATCAGGCTGCTGATGGTTAAAGGACTGCTGATGTCAGGCTGGATTAATCCATCTTTTTTCCCAAAGGAACTCACTTTTAGGAGCTTTTTTGTCTCCTTTGGTGTTGTCATCCCGGAGCCTGTGATAGTCAAACAGAAAACACCATGGATTGGGAAAAGAGCAGGTTATGTGAATTTGCCTTTTCCTCTCAGAATACTTCACTAATAAATACATATTTTTTAATGCATTATGGAATGAGGTTATTTTCAAGACAGCAGTGCTGACACATGGAAGTAACCCCAATCTTTTTGACTGATGAAATTATTTTGTTGCTTTCAGGCAGTTATTTTTAATTCCAGATGCATACGACAAACCAATTAAACGACACATAGAGCTGAACTTAGACCTCTCTGTCTTTCACTCCATTAATCCCTCATTGCAGCCCTGGTGCACATGCAATATGTCCAGGTCCATTTGAAAGAAGCATATCTCAAAGCAAACATGGGGGTTTTTCCCTCAAATTATAATTTTTTGGGGCAATATTTTTTTTTCTCTAGAGAATAAACAGGATATATGCAGTACAGTGTAAGGTTTTTTTGTTTTTATGAGAAAATAACAAAATGTGGTTTTTAGTGCTGCCAGTCCCTAAAATAATGTATATTTTACATGCTACAGACAGGTGCTGTCACAAAATGCCTCCCTGGATTGGGATGTGCTGTGGGAAAGCTGATGCTTCCCTCATGGTGCATCACCCAGATGCCCATACCTGTTTCAGCAGGTACATTTCAGCCCGGGCACACCTGAGCAAAGCAATGAATAAGTCATCAGCTCTGCTCCAGGCTAAACTTACATTGGAATCATGGAACTGATCCTTGCAACCAGAAACCCAGGCACCTTAACAAACCCATGAGGTCAAACTTCTCTGGCACCCTGGCTGACACTCAGAGGCCTGGCAGGTCCCTTGTTGCCACCACTGAGCCAGTGCTGAGGGACAAAATTCGTGGTGTTGCAGCAAAGTTGGATGAATTTCCCTTTGGAAATATTTTCCAGCATATTGAGAAAATGTCCAGCTGTGAAATGATTGTTGCTGGTAACACTGGAATAAGGTCTAAAACTCTGGGAGGTTTTTACAAGTGGTACAAAACCAGCCAGAATGATGTGCTGACAGCAGGGTGGTGACAGCACCATCACTGATTTTATTAACAATCAGTGTCTGACTACAAACATTTGTTTAAGGTGAAATTTCTTCAGCATTTCTTCAGTTGTTTTGTGGAAGCACGAAGGGAAACTCATTGTATTGGTTAACCAAACATTTTTTTTATCCCTGAAGATGTTAAACATTGCTGGATCAGTTTAAATCTAATCTAAGTGGATGTGAAGTGCATTATCAGTACAAGCATATTCCCCTTTTTAATTCTGGAGCTTTTTTTCATCCTTTGAATAAAGGCAATAAATGATTCCTTTGGCTTCTAGAAGGATTTGGATCAGGCCCAGTGCATTTCTCTTGCCCCCAAGGTCTGTGAGACCATCCCTGGGCTGTTGTCCCTGCTCACGGGCTTTAGTGGGCACCTCCTGGAGCTCCTGGGTTGCTTTGCAAGCAGATTCCTGTGCAATTCCTTCATTTGGCAGTAAAGATGCAAACCCAAAGGAAAGGAGTGGGAGAAGCTGAAGTGGAAATGGAAGCGGAAAGGCAGCAGCTCTGTCCTTTGCCACAGTTTATACTCAGTGTGAATAACCTCGAGCTGCTCCTGGTCCTGTCTCATTCAAGAAGGATTTTGCCTCACAAATGCACATTATTGTGTTAGGCTTTGACTCCAGCCAGCCAAAGGACATTTTGTTTGGCTTGAAAGCTTTGCTAAAAATTGCACTTGGGAACATGCTGTACCCTCTGGTTGCTATGAAAATAACTCCAGCACAAAATGCAGGACTCTACCAAAAAAAATCTTGCCTACAACAGCCTAGATGCACACACGTACATCCAAACCTGCAGAACTGTGCACAGGTCTGACTGCAAGATTTTGACTAAAATGTTTTAGTCCTTAACAAATAAACAGAGCTTAAATCTATAGATTCCAAAAGGCAGCACAGCTTCCTGTGACCTTCAACATGAACATGGAGAAAGTCCACACTGGACTGAGTTTTCCTTTGTTTTAGGTGGTCAGTTTGGCTTTCTCTGACACACAGAATGTTATTTGAGTCCATCATTAATAGTCAGGTTAATGAGCATTACACAGGCTGTTCTTTTGGTGGCATTTCATATCTAGAATGAGGAAAATTCTCTGTAGGTAATAACATTTGTTCTGTTCTTCCTCATGCCACCTCTCGAATAATCTGTTCCGCAGTTTGGAACCAGCACACTGGGATGCTTCAGGATGAAGCTGCCTTTACACTCACCTACTCTTTTTGGTTTGTGCTTAAAGGAAGTACAAATATTATAAAATCTTTGCTTGGACTAATCTTTTTTTAACACTTGGCTTGTGCTTTGCAACTTAATGGGCTTAATTTTATTCAGTCCTGATCCTGCAATTGCTCTGGTGTACATGTAAATATTAGGCTGTGGTCATCTCCCTGCAGGACTCCGAGTGAAACCACAGCAATTCTGAATTAATGAATTAATTAATGACTGTGAGTGTGGTGGCAGCGAAGCCAGCCCTCCAAGGGGCACCCAGAGAGTTCATTGCCCACGCAGGGGATGATTTGTTTGGTCCAGAGCACCTTGGGAGGCCCATGGAGAGGCTTAAGAAAAGCATTAGGCAGAACCTGGGACCATTAGTGGCCATTTTAATAATCTGCTGCTTTTTCCCTCAAATAGATTAATGAAGTGAGGGTCCTTGCCAATTCCACTTCAGGGAACTGCTGTTTAGTTTAATTCTGTTCATTTTAAGCATATATAATTTTATTTTTCATCTACCCAATGCCTGCTTCAAGAAGATGCTGCAATATATTAGACATTAGAGGTTAGATATTAGATATTCGGGAATATCTACGATTTCTGTTTTGTCCTGGCTTGCTGTTTCAGTAGATAGTGATGTGTACAGAGTGTCTGTGACCCTCTCTACTGCTCCAGTGCCAGATAAAGCTCATGAAGGACAAACAGTGGGCTGTCAAAGAGCTTATTATGCACAGGACCAATGCAAATGGTTGTTTCTCTTGTCTCCCCTGGCTCCCAGCACGAAGTCATGTTAAGGTGACATCAACCATATTCTAAGCAGCATAAGAATTACAGATCCAGTGTCACCTGCTGACAGGCTTAGCAGGGCTGCTGCCACAGCCACCCCTCCAAGGGATCTCACTTACACGGGGCCCTGTTTCAGTTTACAGCAGCTCAATCTATAAGCCACAAGATCTGAATTTTCAGCTAATAATGAACTTCTGTGTTGTGAGTCTGTGGTTATATAAGGAGCTCTGAGATCTGGGTCATCCAGGAAAGCAGAGCTTGGAGAAGTCCCTGGTGGGAAGCTGACTCAGGAGCCCTCAGTCTGGGCTGCAGGGGTGTTTTTAGCTCTGTGTCTGTGTGTGCACAGACCCCGGAGGAGTTGACACCTCTGGTTACTCCCAGAGAGGTTTGTGTGGCTCAGTGCAGCTGAGCTGGGCTCATTCACCTTATTTTTAATTAATCAATCTAATTCATTTCCCTCTTGCTGCCTTCCCTGTGGTGCCCACTGCACACCTTTAGTGTGATCAGGGTGTGGTGGCCTTGAGCAGTTTGTGCAGAGCTGTCCTTCCTCTTCTGCAGCCACTGCCTCAGCTTAAACCCATCGCTTGTTTTTCCAGCCGCTTTATGAGCTACAAACTTTTATATTCTGACTTCATTCTCTGAATAACAGTTTTGCAGAGCCCCTGATTGATTCAGTGAGGGTGGTTCTTTGGAGCTCTGCCCACGATTCCTGTGAGTTTTGTGCCTGCAGTGAGTCACTGCTCCCATCTCTGGGTGTCCCACGGAGCTCTGGACGGGCTCAGCCCGCTCCCCGTCCCCAACCAACCCCCAGCACCCAGAGGATATCAGCTCATTAGGTCTGGAGCTGTTCAAAGTGATCTGGGTATGAACAAAATGAAGATTTTAAAATGCAGCTCACTCAAATGGAAACAGTTTTTTACTGGAGCCATGAAGCAAGCGGGTTTCTCTCCGTGCCAGATTCGCTCTGTGGCTCCAACTGTTGAGGAAACCGTAACTCTTCGAGAAGGTTGCACTGAAGAAAGGGAAGACAAAGGCTGTGTTTTAACATTTTACATTCAAATTATTATTCCTGCACTTTGAGAGAGACTTAATGTTTTAGCAGACATTAGGAGCTGAAAACAGTGACTCCATAGGACATTATGTTTGGAAAATTAAATGTTAATTAAAAGGCACCGTAGCAATGAACTGATGCATGAATCACTGATTGTTTTTACAGATCTGGTTCAAAAAAACGAGGATGATCTATACTTACATGTATAAGGCAGTAATTTACGTGGTTATAATGTTTTACTGCAGAACTGTACTTGGCAAATTCTAAAATAATAGCACTGGCAAACTTGAAAAAGCTGTAATATAAAGTCAAAGTCTGTACTGTTTAGCTTTGTTTTGGCAAGGCAAGGGAATGGAATCGAGGATGCCACTTCCATACAATTAGCAGACAGTGTGATCTAGCAGCACAGTGACTTTTTTGCATTAATGTATAGAAAGGTAACTCCCAGAAATGCTCATTTTTATGAATCCCCGCATGTGTTCTGTGGCAAACGGGAGTAAAGAGGTAAGGGTGAAAATACCTTTTTGTTCCTTGGCAGCTTGTCATCTAAATCAAAAGTAACAAGCTCTACAATTTGTGAGCCTCTGCGTGTCACAAAAGATTTGTAGTTTGTTTCCAGCCTTTGGCGATTTGTACTTTTAAGTGTTTCCAAGATGAAGAGTAACATCACTTGATTTAAGGGACATTTTCCTTTTACCTCTAGGCCAAGGCTAACCTATTCCAAGGTCGAGGGAAAGGAATTTGATGAATAAGTGGTGATTTGGGGTGGTTCACATCCCCAAAGTTTTCAGAGAGGGAATTAAGAATTATTGGCTGGGCAATTAGTGGCTAAAACACAGAGAAAATAAGGTTGATTTGCATCCCACTTGCATAAGTGCCTAAAATCTGCAGTGGAAGCCTAAGCTCCTTAGCTGATATGTATTTTCCTCGGTTTCCACCAACTAATCAGAAATCAGATAGAGTTGCAGTGGAAATTTCATTCCACTGCCTGCCCAGACTAATGTGTATTTAATGTTTTGGCTTCAGCCTCGAATGAGCTCTCACACTCGACTGAGCAGCGTAGCACAGCCAATAATAGATAATTATTAGGGGCACCACAGCCACCCAAGGTGATTGGCAGTGTGAAATGGTGAGAACGTGTTGTTGCCAAAACTGATGACTGCCAATTACAGTTGTGTGATTTAAAGACCGAAATAACCTGCCTTTTCCATTCTGCTGGGAATATGGCAGCCTCTGACAGGCTCCTGAACCTCTGACTCTGTCTATTAAATGTAACAGGGAAATTTGGTTTTATTGACAGAGAATTCAGCGCGTGAAGAGGAAATTGAGTTATTGTAGCTGATCAAAGCAAAGAATGTTCCTCAAACTTATTAATGAGACAGGCAAAAACATGACAAGGAAAATTTCTTCAGCAGAAAAGATGTTTTCCTTTTTACCTGTGTCCTATTGAGGGTCTGTGAGCTCCAGCCACAAACTGCTTTTTACTGTAAGTGCTCTCTTTGTTGGAGCCGTTAGTGTTAATAAAAATGAATGAAATCTCCATTTGGGATGAAGTTTGTCCTGATCAATTTAGTTTTTTTAGCCACCTCTAAGGACAAAGACATTTCCTGTTTCTGCAGCTGCATTTCAAATGAGTGAGCTGAGCTCTCCAGATAAGCCCAGTTAATGCAACCCATTACCAAGAGGTCAAGAATCTATTAATGCTAGTTGTCCTCCTTGCCATGATGAACCCAACCTGTGAGACTTAGAAACAGGATGTTACTTTTCTCTACCCTTTGAATAAGCCAAAAAGTTGTTGTTTTTTTGTTTTTTTTTTTATTAATGAAATGCATCAAAATCTGTGTAAATGTGTTAAAAATGTGTCTTTAAGGGGAAATAATTTTTTATCTCAAGGGAGAGTTGGAATCTAAACCAGATGCTCAAAAGTCCAAAGCACTTACCCTTGTTTTCTGTCAGTCCTTGGGATACTGAATGCGTGTTGGCCCTTATTCTTTCATTAAAAATGAACATTTAACCCTTTGAAGAAAGGTCAGAGCTCTCAGGGAGTTCTGTTGGCTTTGCTTTGCTTTGTATCCTGTCCTCTAAGGTTTTTTTTTTGCTTCGCTGCTGTAGCGCCGTGGTAATGAAATACATAAAAATAGTGCTCCCCCTTCCAGCTTTCACACAGCAGAGTAACTCAATTTCATGATGAAATTTTTTCCCTCATAAAAATGGTCAGTTTGGAGCAGGAAGCAGACCTTGCTAATGCTGCCTGTTTTATACAGAGTCTAAAGGCACAAGAGTTTGTTGGTTTTTTTTGTTTTCCCTCCCCTGGCTTCTTGAAGCATCTCTCTCCCCTTACAGCTGCTCCAGCTGTAAAACAAAATATAAAAACTTCGTAGGAGTTGTCCAGTCCTCCTGAGATCTTTGTAACTTTGCTTTATTTAGTTAATTTTGGGGGATTTTGAACATGACCTAAAGTCCTCTGTATTATGACCACAGACTTTCTGGGATTGTGTGAGGAAAGAGCTCCTTCTAGTGACTGGAGAGCTGCTTCAGAAACCACAGCCTGCCTCATATGCCAATATTTGGGGTTTTTAATTCCATTTCCGTAGTTCCAAATATGCTTTCCGTTCACTAGTGAAATAATATGTCGTCTTGCTTTTTCACGTTTGATGTAGTTTAATAGATTTCAGATTATTTTTTTATCAAAATATCAGGCTTTTGTTTTTATTATGTCACTGCTGTTAAACATCTTATATAAGTGTCATGTGTCAAGATGCTGCTGTAATTGTTCCATAAATTTTTAATAATTTCAAGCTGTCTCTGAAAAAAAAAAAAAAAAAAAAAAAGTTAGGTAGGTTAGGTAGGTTTTAGTAAGAAGAAAATGTTACTTTTTAATCTGTCTCAATATAATTTTTCTTCCAGGAGAGAAACTTGGAATCTCTAGTTATATCTAAATTCAGCTGAAAATTCAAGCACGATGCATGAAGGAGCGCAGAGCATTGCAATAGGTGGTCTAAAGAGTTATTGTCATGCTTGGTATGAGTTTTGTGGTTGCAAATGGTGCTGATTAAATGCCTGCAGGCAGATAACTTTTCTCTGCTCAGATCCTTGTGCTCCTGATCCTGCAGAAGGAACGGAAGAAGGGTCCCAGTACCTCCTTGCGGGGATTTCTGAGTCCCATGGGAAAAATGAACCCCCAGCGAGCCTTTTCCCCGGGAAATACAAAACTTCCTGATTTTTTCCCCTCAGGACTCTCCCCTGAAGGCCGTGCAGATGCTGTGGGTGAACCTGATCATGGACACCTTCGCCTCGCTGGCGCTGGCCACGGAGCCGCCGACCGAGGCGCTGCTGCTGCGCAAACCCTACGGCCGCAACAAGCCGCTCATCTCCCGCACCATGATGAAGAACATCCTGGGCCACGCCGTCTACCAGCTCACCCTCATCTTCACCCTGCTCTTTGTCGGTGAGAAGCTCTCCCAGGCTCGGTGCCCAGCTCACAGGCAGCTGGGCTGTGCGGCCAAAGAGTCAGAATACTCTAGGTGTAACGAGTTAACGCGAGTTAACTCTGCCTTTGTCATCCTGGGGGATGGGATGGGATGGGATGGGATGCCATGGCATGGCATGGCATGGCAAGCACAGCAGGCCTCGTGTTGTAGTCACTTCCCATATTTTGTTACCCTGGGGATGGCCCCATTGAGATTTTTTTCCCCCCCTCATAAAATACAGGTTTGGGCTTTGGTAAAAGTTTGTAACAAAACACAGCATAGAAGGTGATGTTGTAATAGGAGAATCCGCACTGCTGCTTCTATACTGAAATTTCATTGTGAGATTTGTCATGGGGAGTAGGGACAAAAAAACAAATTTAAAGAAACCCCACAAAGCAAAGCTCAGTAAAAATCAAGATCCGTTTTACCAAGAGCAAAGTGTTGTCCACAGTCCAGAAATAATGTTGATCTTAAGTGGTATGGAAAGTAAGTAATCAGCATTAAGTGATACAAATAACACTCTGCTTTGACATTTAATTTCTGGAATGGATATTAAAAGGGGGCAAAAAGTCTAATTTATTGGATTACTGAATTCTTCTTCAGGCCTTGCTGGCAACGGATGCTTTTTATAGGTTGTATTTTGGAGAGAGAAGGGAAGGAGGAGAAATGTTTCTTGCTGCAGGGAATAGTAGGAGCTAATAATAGATTCTGTTGCTCCACAATAATAACTGAACTCTCTCAAAGGACAGATGATTTTTTCTGTTGGGTGTTGTCTTCTTGTCACTTTGCAGTTGCTGTTAAATCATGTGTTGTCTTTCAGATTTTTTTACCTTATGTACAGACTTCCAGTTAAGCTGAAAATGTAAATTTGTGATTTTTAGGAGGCTTTTGGGCTCCATTATGAAAGCCTTGTCCACTTTATGGCCATGTGGCAGTTTATTTGGGATGCTCAGGGGAGGTGATGATCTGTTCACAGTGGAATTAAACCAAAAGAATTGCCAGGTTTCTGAAGAGAGGTGGTCTCTAACACTGCTAGATTTACAGGGAATTCTGAGAATGTCTGCATTAGGAAATTAGAATTTCAGGTTCTCTAAAACAGGTGAATAAACTCTTGGTAATTCATGTGATATGAATCTTGGAACAAGAACTTCTGTGAACTTTATGGGGAGTTAGAAAGGCTTCTTGATGAGTTTTATGGTTTAAAATACTTTATACTGAGCCAGATGAACAGCAAACCAAGGTTTTTCCCCCATTCTAATTGCTCCTGTGTGTCTTTGGAAAACTCCTGCCTACTTTGAAGGACACAACCCATCCAATTTTCTGATAAGCCTTGGAAATAGTATTTTCCTTCCTAAACTCCACATGGCTCAGCTTTTCAGTGGCACGATGTGCAAAACTCACCACTCCTGTAATTAAATTTCAAATTAATGAGAATTATTTCTAGCTTGATTAAATAATGCTTCCTTTCTTTTGTAGGGGGTTTCTTCAGAGACCAGTACATCAAGTTTTTTCTCCTTTTTTAAAATTTTTAATTTTTTTTTAAAATTTATTGTGTTTGAACATACAGTAAATGTCTTTGAGGCATCAGAAATCCAGAATTCACTGTCTGGTCCTGTCAGGCTGTGGTACAAAAAAGAAAAAAAAACAACTTTATTTTTTGAAAACTCATCACAGCTTTAGTTACTCATCATGGGTTATATCTTGCTTTTTTATTGGTCACATCTATGAGTGAAAGCCAAATTATCAAACTAAACAGAAGTGCCTGCTGCTGATCAACCCCAAAACTATTTAAAACAAGTGGTGTCTGTGTTGTTTTTTGTTGTTGATATCCTTCAATACTTGCAGAAGTTACTGGATTAGTAGATGGGTAAAATCTGATGAAGAGGGGTGGCTTCTAACCACTGCAGAAAATCCAAACACACTGGCAAGAACCTTTAGATTTTGTTGCACCTGAAAGCGTTGAGCGCTTTGAGTAATTCCTGCTTGGGGAGATAAAAGCAGGGCTGACAACGTTGTGTAGGTGTGGAGTTGTTAGATAGGAGCCAGCATTTGAAAAGCTTCTTGCTCAGCTGAGATGTGTTTTGCTCATTGGTGCAAGAAAAGTTGTACCTAGGAAGGTGTGAAAGCAGAGCAGGGAAGGCAACAGGCTAACGGGAACAAGGGGAATATAAATTGGTTTGATCCATTCTGGAGGAAACTTTTATTTTTGTCTTCCACCTAGGTGAGAAAATGTTTAAGATTGACAGTGGGAGGAACGCCCCGCTTCACTCTCCCCCTTCTGAGCACTACACCATCATCTTCAACACCTTTGTCATGATGCAGCTCTTCAACGAGATCAACGCCCGCAAAATCCACGGCGAGAGGAACGTCTTCGACGGCATCTTCAGAAATCCCATTTTTTGCACTATTGTCCTGGGTACATTCGCTATCCAGGTAATGCTCTGGGCAGGAATCTGATGCCTTCAGAGGCTCCCTAGAACAGAGGCTGGACAGAGTTAAAGGAATAAAGTAGGGGTTTATTAAAAGGCCTTTAAAGGATGCACCTTGGGCAGTCCAAGAGCCCAGATGTGGCTCCACCCAAGATGGACCATGGGTCACGAGTTTTCACACTTTTATAAGTTTTGGTCCATTTCATATGGGGGTTAATTGTGCAATTCCAGCTGCAGGTGATGCAGTCCCATCCTCCCAGACTGCTCTCCTCAGTTCGCTGCTGTTTGTACTTTTTGGGCCTGAAGCTGCAGCGGTGTCCTTGGTTCTGGGGCTGGGAAAGGATTGTTGTGTGTGCCTGAGCTGTGAGGAGAACTTGCTGACACTTTGGATGAAGTTCAGAGTTATATACTAATGCAGCACAGAATCTGCAAAATACGAAAGCTAAAACTTAAGGTATCAAATCCTTTACTGTTCATCAGAAATTCACCCTAAGTTGTTTGGGGCTTTCCTTCTCTGTGTTTTCTTTATTTTTTTATTTTAAATCTAAGTGCAGCAGAAGGCCCATTTAATAGTAAACCACTTGGTTTCATGTATTATCTCAATCAATACAAGTGTTAATAATGGAAAATGTTATGTAGCCGTACTAATAAACCAGACATTTTGATCCTTAAAACTGAGATAATTCTTAAACTAATCTTAGCATGTACAATAATACCGGACATCATTGATATTGTAACTGGTTTTTAAAGAAGAAATTGTTTAATAGCATACCAACAAAGCATTTTACAATTATTTATTACTCCTTGAAAAGACAAATTTACTTTCAAACAGCTGATGTTGAACTGTTCTTCTGTTCAATGCCACTTCCCAATGCTGCTCAGTATTCCCAGCAATAATGCCCCTGGATTGTGATCCCTCTTGTTCCTCTCCTGAGTTTGCTGTCCCATCACAAGTGAACATAATCACAATAATACACATTTTTCCCAAATTTTTCTTCTGTTGAGAATTCCTCCTTCTGCTCCTGGCGTCCATCCTGTAATTGATACTATTTGATATTATCATTTAGATATCTATTTATTGTCATTATTGCTCAGCTCTGCAGTGGCAGCTCATTATTGGCACCTTTCTCCTGGGAGGGGGAAGGAGGAGGAAAGAGCAGTTTGAACTTGGACTGCAGTGATTTGAAAAGGGAAACTCCTCAATAAATTGAATATTGGAGGAACTGAATACTGAAGTGATAGGAGCTTCACAGGGATGGTCTTTAACAGCTAATTCAAAATAATGAGTTTAAAACTTGGACAATTTAAATCTCTGGATGCAATTTCAGGTCCCTGATTTTGCAGCAGCAATATTAACAAGAAATATCAATAATATCTGATTTTCAGTTAGTAAAACCTTCTCAGACTCTGTGTGATTTTATCCTGCTGAAGGTGTGGGGTTCTCCCACCCCTTTTCTCCAACAGATCTGGAATTTTCTGTACCTTCTGTCTCCCTCTGATGCACGTCTGTAAATGCACAATAAAATGCTACTCAGAGGGAAAAGTCTTTCTTGCAATGGATATGCCAAAATAATAATAATAATAATGCTCACTTTTAATTGGGGATGCAGAAGTTTGTGAGGTTTGATGGGGTTTTTATTTGGCTCAAAACTTTGCAGCTTTTTTTTTGGTTTTTTTTTGTCTGGTTGTGGAGTTTTGTTGTTGTTGTTTGGGTTTTTTTTTGTTTTTTGTTTTGTTTTGCTGCCTTTTCCCCCAGAAAAACTGACCCCCTTTCCTCAATGCTTCTCTTTGTAGATAGTAATTGTCCAGTTTGGAGGAAAGCCATTCAGCTGCTCTCCCCTGCAGCTGGACCAGTGGATGTGGTGTGTATTTATTGGATTAGGAGAGCTGGTGTGGGGTCAGGTAAGCATTCTGGAAGCTGCACATTCAAAGGTGTGATGTTGTTGATATTCCTGTTTTTCCTTGCGCTCTCTCAGTGCCCACTGAACCCCAAGGCTCTCTCTGAGAGCTTCAAGGAGAGATTTCTTAGTAAGGATCATTTATCCCTCTGTTCCTTTGGGGTTTTTTGTTAATTTTCATATCTTTCCTTTCTAGCAGGGTAATTGCTATCTTCAGTTAGGCTTTTCAGTCAGGGTCATCTTTAGGTAGGCTTTTTTGTGGAAGATGTTGAGTCACATCTTCAGTCTTTCAGTCACAAAAAAATGCAGCAAAGGCAAATGCACTGTGAACTTCCCTGGAAGAGAATTCCTCCTGTAGGATGTGGAAAAAGTTTTGGAGCTGAAATGAAGTTCTAGTTCTAGGTCAACCAACTCATTCCCTTGCTGAAATTGTCATGCTGGCTACTGTCATAGGAAAAATTCCAGTGCCTTTAAAATGTTCCCACAGTGATTCTCCATCCACCTAATTCTGTGTGGGAAGGATGAAAGAGGGAGTTCAAAAACAAACAAACAAACAAAAGGATATTTTTGCCTTTAAGAGTTGTTGAAAAACTCAATTAAATTAATGTGAATGTGTCCTTTTTTCAATTTCTGCTAGATCCTCTGTCATCATTGGCTAATATATAATTATATATTGATGACAAAACAAACATCAATGAGATGATATTAAATAAATTTGGATTAACTCTCTGGAAGTGATATACAGACACAATTAGTATTGTTAATATTCAACATTATTCTTTTATGTGCAAATGCAGGTTGCAAAGCTAATAATAATAATAATAATAATGATATTTTCTTCACTTCTGAATACATTAACAGGGTATTTAGATTGTTGCCAGCTGGTGCAGTAAAGAAAAATGTGAAGTTTTTTTCTCTCAGATGTAAAGAGATTTGTAGGTGCACAGTTTGCCTCTATGAAGAGTCAAGAAATTGCCCACTGCAATTGAATTCTGCTGTGGTTCTGCTGGAATTGTAGTGAATAAATGCTGGCTTTAAAATCTGATTATTTGTTCTCTTCTGGGAAAGAAATAACTTTTTTTGAGAGTTTGGCCTCATTTTTCTTTAGAAATAAGCTCAGAATCAGAAAAGCTTTTAATGTATATCTGGCTGAAAACCACCCCTATTAGATGATTCTGTTGTAATTATTACTTGAGGCTGGGATTTGACTTAAGGCCTTGCAGAAGGAAGACCTAAAATCAGTTTGATAATCTCAGAAAGGATTTTTGGGGTTTTTTTTCCAACTGTTTGGAAAATATACCAACTTTTGGAGAAAAGGAAAGTCAAGTAGGGAGAGGGAGAAGAATCCAAACTACTTCATTCAGCTGTGAAAATTTCCCACAGCCTTTGATCAACTTTTTGGCTTCTACATTTTGTTTTCTGTGGCTATAACCATCAAGAACTAATACAAATATCAGCTTTTTTTTTTTTTCACTTTGCTTGCCCCAGGTTTATTGTTAGACCTTGGACATTAAATTACAACTAGTATTAGAACACCTCCATACTTTTATCACTGAGAATATAGCACATACAGAGGGGAAAAAAATCTGTCTTGTGGTCAGTATTTAGTGACCAGAAAAGAAAAAAGGATGTTAAAACCAATCAGTTATGTCCATCTTTACATGATTTACAGTCTGTGGCAAGGCCTTTCTTCATGCAGCTCTTCAGTGAGAGAGAATTCTTTTCCTTTAGCAGTGATGCTTCTCTTCTATCTCAGCCTTTTCTCTGCTGCTGTGACTCATTCTAATTCAGCACAAAACAAATTTGGTATTTTTTTTTTTATTTTTTTTTTAAATCCATGTCCTGAACCCTCTGTTCTTGTGAGCCATGAAAAGCAATCAAGATTTCCAAGTTTTGCTGTCAAAGCAGGCACTTCTGAAAGGAACTTAAGGAATGGTTTCCAGGAAGTCAATTTGAGATGCTTTGAGGGACAGTTTTTCGACAGCTCCCATCTCTTCTGAAAGTCAAGACTTTCTAAAGTATTTCATATCCCATTCCCAGAATTATTGATCACTTATTAAAACTGTGATCATTTTTCTGGGAATAATATTTAGTTCTTCAATCTATTGAGCCTGTGTCCTGAACTTGGTGGGTGTTGGAAGATACAGAAAAGAAATGAATAATGAAAAAAGAATTAGAGAAGAATTAGAGCAGAGTATCATCAGCTTGGCTGAGGTGGTTCAAGAGAGGAACATTCTTCAGGGACACACACAATCCTGACCCAGAAGAGTTATTTTTATGAATATTGGCTTAAAAATCCTTTATCACCATCACTTTCATCAGATCCCAGAGTTTCCAGTAGTTTCTCTCTGTAGAGTGCTGGCATTGTAGTTTGAAAGCTGGGAGGCTGAAGGAAATTCAGTAAGTATTTAACTGATCAGCATTTACCCTTTCTTTTTCTCTCCTGCTCTGTCTTTGCTTGTGTCACACCATTAATTTTCCAGGTTTGCATCTTGTTTTTCAACCCCCCCTTTAAAAAGGTTTTGTAGTAGTGTAGAAAATGGGTTGGGTTTGGTTATTTTTGGTTTTTTCTTTTCTTTAAAAACACTGCAGTAAAACTGGTCTTGTGGATCATGAAGCTCAAGGAGAGCCTCAGCAAACTCAAAGGTTTGCTTTCACCCTGAAAACATCCAGAACCTTTCCATTTGTCTTCACTGCATCCATTCCAGTTTTCCAAAGCTCTCCTCACCAATTTTCTCACAGCTGTCTTGGTTCTCTCTCTTCATCTTTCATACATCTGAGCTTCACAGCTGTGGTTGCTCACTGCTGAAATGAAGACAAAAAAAAAAAATTGCAGCAGTTTTTTGCTAAGTGGGTCTAATAATTTGTTATGTAGGAGATTTACTCTAAGCATTCAGTGTGTTCCAGGTAATGTCTTGTTTAAATTGCTGTGATTTGCTCCTGGTTTTGTGCAAGGAATCAGAACAAAGAGAAAATGACTGCCCAACAGGGTAACACTGAAATGGATTTAAAATAATTGTCCAGCTACAGCAGCTGCAATTTTTAAAGATCATTCTCCTGTATTAGTTACTTCCAAGGACCACTTGGGTGGGCAAACAGAATAAGAAGAGAGGTTAAGTTAATCAGAATTTATTGGTGGTAAGGACACAGAGTGGGAGAGAGCCCTATGAGAAATCCAACAACCAGATCCAGCCCTTCCAGAAAACTCAATTTTGATAAATGCCAGAAAAGCATTCCAGCTTCTGGAACAAAGGGAAGCTGAATCCATGAACCAAGGGAGTGTGAGAAGATTTATCAGCATGAGATACAATGAATTTTCACTTCCTGTTATCATAAGTCATTAAAAATACCCAAACTCTAATTGCAGAGCTATCAATATGGTTAAGTTTTCTTTGCATAATTACACTGAAATATTTCCATCTTGTTTTATCTTCTATTTGTTTTATTGATAAGACTTTTTCTAGCCTTGAACCTGCTCCACACTGTGGTTTAGTGGTGCAGGTCATGCTAATTGTTTACACAGTAAATTAAATACATTTGGGACTAAAATGGAGCTGTCCAAGTGCAAAGTGCTGTTAGAAACAGGCTTAGCTCACATTTAAAGATCTAATTAAATATGATTGTTCTTTTGTAATTAGCAGATTGTTATACTGTTGCTCTTGAATGAGGCTTATGTTTTCAGTACTTTTTTATAATTTTAGGTCATTGCAACCATCCCAACAAGTAGGCTAAAGTTTTTAAAGGAGGCAGGGAGGCTCACTGAGAAGGAGGAGGTCCCTGAGGAAGAGCTCAATGAGGATGTTGAAGAAATAGATCATGCAGAGAGAGAGCTCCGACGTGGACAAATCCTCTGGTTCCGAGGGCTCAACAGAATCCAAACCCAGGTATGCTAAAAGTAAATACCCACAAGGTCTAAAAACACCCAAATAAATGATTCATGTGAGATCAAGGCAAGATAATGTTAACAGGAAAGCCACGGAGTGTTTGTGTGCGTGTGGAGGATGGCACTGGTCAATTGTTCTCCAAGGAAAAACACGGAAAAACAAAACAGGGGAACGGGGCAAAGGGGGTGTGTGCAGCAGAAGAGATAAATGAAAAATATATAAAGAGATAAAATGCAAGACCAGGAATCTGTGATTTGAGAATACCGTGACTGGATGTTCTTTTTCTCCTAGAGTGATTACAGTTCATAAAATTGTGCTGCTTGGCCAATGTCAGCTTGCAGAACGTTAGGAAAGCTTTCTAAAATGTATTGCTTGATTTGCTAAAAAAAAATACATTGTTGCTGCCATTGCTGCACTAACAGAATAATTGAAATTGAGTCTGAAGTATGATGTACAATTTGATTAAAAAAATAAATCTGTTCAGTTCTGGCACTGCCACACATCAATCACGATTAAAAGGGATTGATTTTCTTTCCTGTTAGGTAATGAAAAATGTGGTTCTGGATTTTAGTAGGAATTAAGCAGCCATTAACTATTGAGGTGTAGGAGCTGGCTATTAGCATTCTAATTTCTCTGATTCCTGAGAAATATCTCTCCCCAACTTTTGCCAAACACAAAAACCCACAGCATTTTTTTAATATACCAGCCCTTTGCACTGGATCCTGGTGCTAAATACAGTGCAGGTTAAGGAGCTGTGAAATTGGTCCTGGAGTGCTGAAGAAAACCATGTGAAGTATTTTGCTTTTTCCATTGCAGTGAAGTGTTTCATTGCACTCAGGTGTGCTCTGCTTGATCTTTCTAAGATCAAGTATTTCTGGCAGCTTGCAGCAGAGAACAGCTATCACCACATCAGATGTGCGTGTTTTACATGAGCCTGACAAGGAAAAGAGGTGAATAATTAAGAGAAAGATCTTTCTTTTCTTGAAAGAATCTTCTAAAGAACATTTTTGTCTCAGAAGATTTGGGGGTTTTGTCTTCAAACAAGATAAACAGCACATTCTGCTTTCTCACATCTACAAATTGATACATTTTTTGGGGGGGATGGGAAGATGCAGCCATGAATTTAGGGGAAAAAAAGATGGAAAAAAGTCGAATTAGGGCAGTGAAGTCTTTTGGCTGCATCTGTAGAGCATAAAATGAAGAGGGTGGAAACTGGTGGTAGGGAGATGAAGAGCTGGGGAATTCCCAGGGTTCTGTGGTGATTAAATACGGATCTTCAGCTTTGAGCCTGGGTGTCTTGACTCCATTGAGTCAAGAGCACTCATCACTAGAGAAAATTCAAATTTCACTTGTGACAAACAGGTGCCCAGGTACTGGTGACCTTCAGGGAAAAATGACCTCTAAATGTGCATTCTTTTCTCCCTGGTGGCTGTAGGAGGAGTGTTGCCTGTTGGCACTTCTGTCAGGATGTCTTTCTGGTTGGGGTGAGTGCAAACAGCTTCCAGCAACACAAAGCAAATGACATCCTTTCATTTCTCTTTCTAGTCTGAGAGGTAGCTTTTAGTTCTGCATCTCTTTGTCCACTTAATTCACAGAGAAATGATTCTTTTACACCACTTAAACCCAAATGAACATTAATTATATCTCTTTGCTAACATCCATCTTGCTTTCCTTTCTGCTCTTAGTTGTAGAAGCACCCCTAGTAGGATGTGTCCTTCCTCTCTGCCAAGAGACCTCCATGATTTTTCTTCTCATTTTATTTACTCAATGACTTTGATTTTTTTTTTTGCATCCATTTCACATCTGTGGAATGA